CTTCCTTCGACTGTGGCGGCATTCGACTAGAGATAGCAGTGCGTGTCGGAAGTGATGGCGGCGGAGATTGGAACCAGCGTTTCAACAAGTTGGTCATCTCCTTGAGGATACCGTCGACAAGCAGAAACGGTACGAGTGACGTGGCCGGATACACTCGTCCCACTCTGGTCACGCAGTGAGAATCTCACTGAGATCCCTGGTCGAGCGAGGTACGACGCGCAGTTTCGAGCACCAAAGTTGCAGAGGGGATCCTGACAAAGAGAAGGCTGAGTGCAACCAACACTGGCAGTGTCACTGCAGCATCCAGCCCAATACATGTAGCGCGTCGATGCAGCCCTGGTTCAAATTCTCTGAAGACTTCAAAGCCGTGCAACAGTCTGTCGGCAGGTCACAATGGTTAGTGCCGATTTTGCGATGTCAAAGCAGCAGCGTTTCAGAGAGGTGTCGATTGGTTGAAGTGGATCCAGTTGCAACGCCAGACTTGCTGGTTGCGAGTTTATACGTGAATCTTACGTCCATTTCAGACTACCATGCCACGGCAGCCAGCACGTGTAACGTTATTATAGTTTTCCTTGCACACACCGCCGGGCGATATAGTTCAAGTCAAAAGCTAGTTACCGGAACCACAACAGAGGCAGCTCTGTGGCAGTACGTATGACTGTGACGTTTACTATGATCGTGAGTCATGAGTCATGACACCGCTATAGAGCTGTGAACCTCGAGTGTACCACGGTGCCAACGCTCTCTATTTGTTTTGAAGCGAGGCCAAGCGTAGACCAGATTTGGAGTACTGTACCTGGAGGTTAATGCCGCTGTTCGAAAGAGGTGCATCGGACAGCAAACTCCACGGCAACAATGCGCTCACCCGTCTTAGCCATTCTCCAATTTGCTCCATAGCAACTCACTCCTTCTCCACCGCAGACAGAGATAATGAACACGTACTTCGCCCTCGCCGCCGCCGTCGCTGCCCTAGCTGGCTCTGCCGACGCCGCTGCCTGCACGGCCACGCAGCAGCAGTCTGCATACCTGGGTATGGTTGGCCTGCTCACGGGTACGGCACTCAACGAGTGTGCCTCGGAATCAGGCTACAACATGCTGTACGCCACCGCTCTCCCCACGGATGATGAGCGCAAGGCCATGTGCGGCGTGCAAGCGTGCCACGACCTCATTGTGTCGGTGCTTGCCACGAACCCTCCGGACTGTGACCTGACCATCCCCACCAGCAACGCCGTCATGAACGTGTACCAACTCGCCTCTACGTTCGAGACCCAGTGCGATGCCTTGGTCGCTACGACGGCTCCTCCCACCGAGGCCCCCACCGCTGCCCCCACCGAGGCCCCCACCGCTGCCCCCACCGATGCCCCTACGACTGCTCCCACTGATGCTCCTACGACGGCACCGACTGATGAGCCTAGGTCTGAAACTGATGCCCCCACCACACACCCGACCCCGGCCCCGACGGAGCCTGTTGTACCTGGTGGCGCCTGCTAAAAGCTTCTGAGCTTCGTCGTAGCCACAAAGCAGGTGAACTAAATGTGTTTGGCGCTCGTCCATCATGCTTGTGAATACATCTTCCACATTTTTTTAAAGGATTGTTGTTTTCTTAAAGCATGTTACTGTTCGAAAACTCGCGCAAACTATGACCGCTGCAGGAATATACGAAGCAGGCTTCATCGTCACCGAAAGCGCATGTAGTCCTTGCTTTATGTTGATCACTACGGATCTGCAGTCTGCAGATCCGTAGTGATCAACATAAAGCAGTACCTGCTAGTCAGATCTTTTGCTGGGCGTGCATTTCTTCGCCAGGGTTACGACCACATGATATACCAAACCAAATGTTAATCACCCTGTGAATTTGCAGTCGTTTTAAGCCTGCTACTCCCCATTTTCCACTTCATCCATGAGAATTGTGTTAATCTGGAGACTTCAGGCGTATCAACAAGAATACGGCTGATCTAGAGTACGTGTACGTACATGGCGAACGATTCACAACAACAGCGAATTGAATACAAAAACCTTCATTCACAGGTTTATACTACGACAGCTTTCGGCATTCACATTCGCAACTGAAAAATAATCATCAAAGCTGCGTACTTGGCACGAAGACAAGTTGATAGGTGCTCCGGCCAATTGATTCTGGACGCAGAGATTAAACCCGCTTACAGTGACGCGCACGTAGACGAGAACCCGTTCGCGTACGTGAACACGTTGAGTACCAGGCCGCTCGTAGGCACCGTCAACTCGCAGTCGGGCGGGTTCAGCGTCACGATCTTGTTGATCATCGTCTTGCACGCCGTCGACGCGCACATGAGCTTGTACTGCTCCGTCGTGGGCAACGAGGTGGCCGTCAGCATTGAGTAGCCAGAGTCCGTCGAGCACTGGTTGAACGACGTGTCCGAGAGGATGCTTACGAGCGCCACGTACGCCGCAGTTTGCTGCGTGGTGGTGCACGTGGTGGCGGAGGTGGAGCCGACGAGGGCGGCGACGGTGGCGGCGAACAGAGCGCGGAAGTTCATTTCGGATGAGGTGGGGGAGAAGTGGGGTGGGTGTGGATGAGAGCAAATTGCACAATGGCAGTTGGAGGCAAACTAGGCTTGACTAGCTGGAGTTGGGCTGGCGGCTCGCTTGCAGGTTTATTTGAAGCTGTTGTACTGTGTAGGTTTTGCCGTGGCGCGTAGCATTCGAACGGCAAGATCTGCCACGCACTTCGGCTTTCGTCGACACAATCAGCTCGACTGTAAAGAGTTGTCGAAAAGCACCGAAAGCTGAACAGTAACGTAACCTGTGCGATTCAGGCTGTATCCA